CACTTCCGCTACGAGAGCTGAAATTTATGTTATCGTTACACAGCAAGTGACGGTTTGGGCGTTTAGAATTTCCCTTTTGAAGTGTCTAGACGAATCAATCACTTTGACTTGACTTAACTGCGCATGTGTTAATAAACAAAATTGAGAAGGATAATTTTCATCGCCAAGCAGGCACAGACAATGTGTTGGAGAATGTTAATTGTCATGATACTTGTCGTCAACAAGGTTGTTCAGCCAATGTTCTTCGGTAGATGACACAACAAACTTCAACGGACAGCTTTAATGACCAGATGTGGCAAGGTTAGTTTACAATATGTGGTTGCTTTGGATGGATAGCGTTGTTAGTTAACTTGGTTGCAGTAAACGCCTATAGTTACAATCATATGTGGTGTGATCCCCCAAAACCAATTCTTTTGCTTGATCAGAAAGTATCTAATGAACGAGTTGAAGCCCCTTCACAGATGTTTCATTGTAAGACTCATCAACCGGACATTTAATCAATCAGATTCTTTTGCATAAACCGTGAATTGTCAGTCAGCGTTCCATGTTCCAGTCAATAAGATATTTCCCAAGTTTTGTTCACAATCTTATCAATTTAAACAAAGTCATACTGAGATATTCGAAGCGCTAAATATGTTACCAATCGGTGAACAGTGAGGTCCACCTAACCTACTGAATCAGAAAAAAGTGATATCACGGTAATCAATAAAACACTTCGGCTAGTGCCTAAGTAAGAACAGCTCATATGTACACAAAATTGTAGAGACTTAACAATAAAGGCCACCCTGTTATCAGATCAGGTAACCAGCTAATCGATTTCAACTGCTAATGTCTGTCCTTTTCAGGCGATGCATATTAATGTAACCCCTAACTCTCCCAGACTTTACCCCCTTTCTTCGACTTGGGCTTCATTCAAAACTTATTTCAAAATTCGACAATATGAAATAACGCATTGGTTCATAACCAAACTTAGCTGCTGGAGGCAACCAATTTTAAAAGTCACTAAAGATATTCAGCCTACCTTATTCCATTATCATACTCGTGTTATCATCATCCATTATAAAATTTCGCTTCAATAGAAATATTTAGCTTAATCTAGATATTAATTTGAACTCATGGTGTATTGACCTCTCAATAGTCATCGGTCGACTGTTCACCAGTATGAGTTTGATAATGGTTTATATTTAACCCTACTACATGATAGTAGTTCTTGTCTCATATTTCATTTTTTGTTTCCGAAGATGAATCAAAGGAAATGAAGGGTTGCATTCAACATTCGTTTTGTTTCCTAATGGGATAAAAGAACACAGTTTAGTATAAAAATGAAGTGTATGATGTACACTGATCCCTGGCCGATATTCTGTGGAGGTAATATATCCATACAAGGTCTTGATTAATTAATATTTAAGATTTTCAGATGGGATTTATTAGGAAATGGAGTAAATTACATTTTTGTACGTTCAAAAATCTACGGAGTAGTTATATGAAGGCTGACCAGAAATGTTTAGTTGTAAAGTAGCTATGACTATTGACTTTCTATTGATTTGGTTCAAAACTTTCAAACAACCACTTTCGTAATACGTTTGTTACGTGTAATGAAACGTTGACGTTTATTTTAACAATGTCTAAGAACTGAATTTAAATAAATTTGTTTAGCGCATTTTCTTCGTGTGTTTATTGATTAACATAAATTGATTGACTCCACCATTTTGTTCACGTTCTTATCGTACCGTCGAAACCTCAAGTTGTTGTTGTCCTCTAAAGCGATGTTTACCAAATGTCACGCACCGGCTGTCGGTTGTCAGAACAAGCCGACCGTTGTGTAATTGAGCTTACTTATCCCACTGTATACTTCCTCAGGCGAGGCTCAGCTATACAATGTTTTGTCGTCATATACAAAGCACATGTAAATATTTCGTAAACAGTTGATTAAAATGAAAGAACTGCTCGCGCTCCGGAAGGTTTTCTTCTCGAAATTTTATGACAGATTGTAAACGTTTGGTTACCAGCGCAACAGTAGACGACATCGTCACCCGACTGTGTTGAAAAAAACATTAGTCACTCGCCACTTAAGTATGAAATCGGAAATTAAAGTTTTTTAGGCAATTAATAAACCACGACTTTTTACTAAAATCTGTTTACGCTAACATTTTCTAAAAGTGTCGACGAAAACCTTCTTCTCAACTTACGCACCGGTGAACAAATAAAATCAGTCATCAAAAGAATATATGATGCGGTACAGAATACAGTCCTAGGAAAACCTCAGCCCTCAGTTGTCGAAAATACTACGCAAACTTTCATAGAAGCATCCTCGAGATTTGCATCGAAATGGAATGGTCGTTTTCAAGTTTGGATAACGTTCAACGCTAAACAATATTTAAACAAACATTTCTACAGGCAACATTTCATGTTTTCCACATAGTATATAGATTCGTGCATATCAGTTTATACGTGTTTACTAAATTGACTAATATCTGAATAGCTGTCGCAGTAAGAATAAGTCTAAACTATACGTGCAGTATACATTTTATTGAAAACCGTCTAAAACAGTATTGAAGTTATACTAACCAACGTATGTAACGTCGGAATATAGTTAATTACCAATCGGTAATGAAATCAACCTTGAAAAAATTTCAAATAATATTCAAAAACAGATTAATGTTACAATTGTTTGCGTTTCATTTGCATTTCAAAGAAGGACCTTTCCTGACGTTCAGGTTGTAGCTACATATTTCAGTTAGCCGATTTCCTGCTTAATTCTAGTTTCTTTTTGATCCAAATTGCAAAGTCTGGGTATTTTGACGTATTTTTCAATGTTGACCAGTGATGATATACAGCAGTTAATTTCCGGTCGTGCAGTTGAGGACCATGACCAATTGTCACGTAGTTTGAAACATTGAGTTCCCTTAATCCATCTAGTCAAAACAGAGAGAAGACATATCGCGAGATGTTAACATTTCGATTTGCTCTCATCAGTCGCCAACGTAAAACTAGCAGTTTTTATACAAACTGCGTATAGCAACAACAATTGAACGAACCAACCACATAGTTCTGACCTTTCACGTTCTAATAGTTCAATCAATTCCACGGCAATGAGATTGATTGCGTCAGCACCTTCTGCGCACACAAAACTGGCCGATGTTGTTTGATGAGCATTGCCTCGCTAATCGCTAACAGTTTCGGGTTGCGATTATGTAACAATATCTTGAACGATTTAACAGGGTCAACTAGGTGACCGGTTGCTAAAATGTGTTTGGCGATCGATGAAGCTGGGGCCTTCGAGCTTGTTACCGTCAATAGGTCGTTTTTTGAGATTGCCGTTGATAACCACTTAGGAAAGTGCTCAGCCATACGTTGATGCAAACACCGATCTGTCCTGCCTATGTAGACGTCATTGCAACTGCAATTGAACTGGTAGATTACGTAGGAGACAGAATGATCGGTTGAGTGTGTATCGCCGCTATGAAGAGACAAGCCCCTAGTGCTTAGCAAGATGCGTAGTTGGGCCGCTGGGTAGGTGCGTTGCAACGCCGATATCAATTTGTGACTCATGTTGTTAATCAAGTGGTCACCTTTGAATTGAATTTGCAGAAATATGTTCTTTTTCCGCGCACTGCAGCTTACCACTTTTTGTTCTTTCATCTTACTGTGGATATCCACAAACTTTTCAGGGTAGCCGTTATCCACCAGCGTTTCCCCAATAAACTCTTCTTCTTGCTCCAATCGATCTGCAGTGCAAATCATTCTGGCTCTGTGAAATAACGTTTTCACTAGCCCTCGTTTATAAGCAATTGGCGCGAAGCTGGAGAACTGCAAATATTGTCCACTCCAAGTTGGCTTGCGATAAACTGATCGTTGTAATGTACCATCTTGACGTCTGGTTATAAGAATGTCTAAGAACGGCAAACAATTATTAACTTCCACCTCATAAGATACAGAGAAGTTTGGGTGGAGGGAGTTCAAATAGTTATAAAATGAAATAAAAGTACACTCATCAGTAAAAACTAAAATGTCGTCCACGTAACGTTTGTAAAGCAGGACCCCCGAAATTCTTTCTTGAAATTGCCTTTCAAGCATTTCCAAAAATACATCCGCCAATATGGGGCCCAGTGGGCTACCCATGGCTACACCATCAATCTGTCTATAGTTAACACCGTCGAACTCAAACGGAATGTTTTCTGTACAAGCAAAAATGAGATCCTAGAGAAGATCTAATGGAATACCTATATTTACATTTTGACTAAAAATAAAATCACATAAAAATTCAACGGTTTCACGCAGTGGTACATTAGTAAATAAAGAGTCTACATCGAACGAGTACATCATCTGTGGACTTCCTGAATGTGGTTAATTCGTTCAATTGTTGTTGCTATACGCAGTTTTTATAAAAATTGCTAGTTTTACGTTGGCGACTGATGAGAGTAAATCGAAATGTTAACATCTCGCGATATATGTCTTCTCTCTGTTGTCACGTAGTTAACAACTGGTGTGGATCAATCGCTAAAATCCGAACCTGGGAGTACAGCATGTTACAAATCATCTTATTCGTCCAATCTACTTCATTGCATTGCTATGTAGCAAAGCTAATCACATGATCAAAAAGTAAACTATACATAACAGTGTTTTAATTGTATGTCTGATCTTCTAAATGTTTAACGGTGTATTGAATTTCGGAAGCTTCAGAATAAACTTATGATGACAGCTGCATTAATACATTACATATTGTGTAGCAAAACTTGAGCATTTTACCCAAAGGAATGCTAGCTGCTTGAGGATAGATAATCAAAATTCGTAGAGATAATTTGTAAAAGTTTACTAAAATCTTCCGAGTGAGACTCAGTTGTGAAAAATCGGGTTTTCGGTTGGCTTCGAATATCACAAACTGTTTGACAAATCCTGATGGGGCAATCAATCCTTTGAATCACTTGGTGGATTCCATATGAGACAGTGGGATAGTTGAGTAACGGAGTTCAAATGTGAAATTTCTGAGCTCCCGAGGCGGCTTTGTGGCTCAGATGATAGGGCATGGACATGTTGTTTCTGTCGGTGGTTCGAATCCAGCCAAGGCTCTGATTTTTACATTTGGGTTTCATCTGGATCCTCAAGTCCGCCAGATTACTCATTAATATCAAAATCTTAATTGAATTCAAACGATTGGTTTCTGAAGTAATTTCTGTCAGCAATATTTTTCCCCAAATAAAGTTCGGACTTCTTTGCAGAAACTTCCTCTGGAAAGAATATCATAGTCTTAACTTGGCTGATTTGCTTTAAAATGTTTTTATACTATAACGGTGATTTTCTGGTGGTAGTTTAGTGTGAAACAATGTTCGCGAATGACGATGCAATGCAAGTCAATATTATCGATTGTGTTTACGTTCGACGGAATGTTGGACAGTGTAAAATTATGTCTAATATGAAATCTTGTAGATTACCTGGTTGTAGAAAAAGATAAGCTGTTGATTATGAAATTATCTACAGGGAACACTGGATATATATGTGTACATGTAAAACTTTCACCCGGTTGCAGTCCAGTACGTTTAAGCTCAAAGTAACACAGGACAGAAGAGAGGTAGTCAGAAATGAAGGGCTTTGTAGCTAGCGATTTTTACGTGACATCACAGACGCCAATTAGTAAATAAGCTGCCAGTCTGTGTGCACTTAATTCATGCAGAAGAAACTAGATATGGTTTTGTTGATTTCACGCTAGTCAAACTGAATCGGCGTTACACACTGGCATATAACCGACACAATAAATTCAACATAAAAACCGGATAACTGCATTGGGGTTTAAGTAGGAAACCATCCGTTTTCTGACAGAGTTGAGGTGGTCTCTAGGACTAGAAGTCCCCGACAGCTGATTTTGGTTACTGTTTTTCCGTCCTCAGTAGATATTAGTTTTGCATACCTAGTCAACAGAAGTGGAGTTATTTGTTAAATTCCGAGATTGCCAGATGTTGCAGTTATGGAAACTGTGATCTTCACATGGTGAAGCTTGTTGTACTACATTTCCCCTAAGTTTTTTTAGATTCAAAATCTTCACTAATACCACTCCAACACCTGACAATTTGCTTAAAGTTTCAAGCTTGAGGTTAATCCGGAAAGACAACGCACTTGTCACTTTATGATAAGGAGTCATGACACTAAACAAACCAGGCCAGTGTATAACTTTCGCGATTAATCTCATCTTTCTAAATGCAGACCGAAAAACGAATGAAGTACATAATAAAGAAGATTATTGAAGATGGCATGGATTCACTGTTGATATTCAGTGTGATAAATTCAACAATTTGAAAGGAATCCAGTTGAGGAAAATTTATGTCTAAACTTAACACAAATCCGCAACAGAAACATATTCATATGAGGTAAGCTCCACGCTATCAGATTTACGGAACCACGCCAAGAAATCGAGAGTGGCTTCGAATAAGTCCATAGTGAGTTCTTTGAGAAATCCTGTTTGAACAATGAATCCGTTCAGGTATTTGGTGAACCCATAAGACTGAGCAGCATGAGCGGATGATTAAAGTCCAGTGTGGAATTGCCACAATGTGTGCAACTGGGTCTTATAAATAAAAGATTTTGTGTAAATATCAACCATTTTGCTTTCTCGTCCAGTTTGTTTCCTATTTCGTGGTAATATCTTCGTCACTTTATATATATATATATATTACGTATATATTATTTTTATGAGGCTAGGGAATTCGTGCGGCTTCTACTCTCAAACTAAAATTAAAAACGTTGCCACATTTCCCCCTCGAACTTGCAACAGAGACAAAATTTCAATCAGTTTTGGTGTACCGTTAAGGCAATGTGGTCAGGTAAAAGCTCACCGGTTGTATTAGTTTGCTTTTAGGTACAAGGGTTTATACAAGAGTAAACGGTTTTTGCTCATGTCTTGTTGGTCTTGTTTTCCCAGCGTAACAAATTGTACTAGGCAGTCCACAACTACGAAAAAATTAAACTTATCGTGAAGGAAATATGTGTCTAGAGAAATGATTCATGTCCAATGACCTCAAATTCGAACGTTGAACTATGTTGTAGCATGATTATAACAAAGTTGAACACTGAAATCCCTGCCTGGATCTCCGTGAGTGTGGCCAGAAAATACTTGTTACTAGCTGTTATTCAAGTGGACAGTGATAATCTGAGATACTGAACTTGTAACCTGTTCTAGCCGTTTCTACGGTGTTAGAAAAATCTCTTCAACTTGGATAGATCTGGTCTGCACAAAGGCACTGTCTACATACGAACTACTGCGGTTGATTTGCAAGTTTGGGAAATGATGTAAATCATCCACGTAGACAGTCTGCTTACAAGTTAAATCGTGTTTATTAATTTTCAACGTGAAGTCGAATTCCTATCCGTGAAATTACTGGTGATGTAGTTAACACGTTAATCTCACAAACACGAAGGTCGAAATTCAAATGCCGGCTCGGCAAACAGATGTACAAATTATGAGCTTTTATAAGAGCGAAACTATAGTCTGGTGCTCCCTTACGAAGTGGACCGATTGAAAGACTTATCTGGACTGTGGTCGAATATGGATGGTGTTAAGTTTAAAATACTAAGTAACTAACATAGGGAGTTGAACCGGTTATGCACAGCCTAGACTTAGCAACCGGACAGACACTACCCAATCACAACGCTGCCTGATAATGTAATGTCGAAATCCAAGGCGTGCAGTGAGTGTTAGGTGGTCCAGTGATAAACGTTTAGCTGGGTCATCATGATCCTTCTCATCAGACGGCAGAAAGTTTTCTCACACCAACCAGAACCCAGTGCCGCGTGCCTCATGGCTTTTTCGCTCATCCAACCAAACAGAATTCTGTCGTGCACCGGGCATTTTCACATGCACCCGTCCGTTTGTGTACAAGAGCTCCTTACTATCCGCTGCCTCGAATCTACCCTTAATAATGGTTTGTTAGAAAACAATTGTATGCATGATTCGGCTAGGTATTCGACTTTAAACTCTGTCTCACTGTAAGAAACAGTTGCGCAAAGCGCAGACAGATGCTCAGATCAATTAGATCTGTGCCTTTTAACTTAGTTAATACAGCAGCTAACTAAGCTGAACTTTCAATTCCACTGTCATCCACTGTAGAACGTCCTATTGACAGGAACTCAAATTAATTTAGCTACTGTTTCGTAATACATAACAAATGTTACATAAAACATGTATGCACACTATTGATTTTGTGTGTTGGTTGTTGATACATATCTACAACTCAATTGTTTCAATGTTCTATTATGTACACATTTCGTTGTTTGATCACGGCTTAATTAAAATGTGTTTGTGCTCTTGATTAATATGTGCTCAGATAAACGTCAGTAGCTTCAAATAAACATGTACCATAATTCTAATAACAACAAGATAGTTTGATATTATCGTTGTTCAATATAGATGACATAGTACCCCCATATTCATTCAAAGCTAAGAACATATCAACACTAGCACAATTAAAATATTATGGGGGAGCTTATCTAAAGGAAATTAAGACAAAGTTTGATAAGTTTGAATAAATGGTGTGTCCCCCTTATTGAGAATGTTCAGTACAAACTGTTAGTAGTGGACAAACAGTTTTGTAGGGACAATTTCTAATTCACAAAAACACTTCAGTATTAACGGAGTTTCTGAACCAGTTCAAGCCTTTATACCTCCTCTTTGTTCCATGCGTCCTGGATGTAAAAAGTAATCCAGACAGTTGGCAAAGTAACATCTGTAATAGGTCAAGTTGAAAAGTTATATATGGGGGACTATAAATAAATACTGCACAGTAAACCATTGTATGTAAAAAACGGCTTAATTGATTTTGTGTGTGAGTCCCACCCGAAGTGTCTCGTCTTTTCAGTTCTAGGTACTTGGGTTCAATAGCCATCTGCTACACATGTATGTGTTCCCAGACCGTTGTTAACATGAACAGCAAACTCACTGTACTTGACTTGCCGTTACAATCGTTCAA